GGAATAAAAACGTGATGCTAATGACGTTGATTTGCACTCCATGATGCTTAGTAGATATACCATCCATGACGCCGTAGAAGCCAGTCGCTTGAATACTGAAGGTAAGTTACGACGCTTAAAGTAAGCTCTTCGAGCGTCTTTGTTATTCCTCGTTTTTCACTATTCTCATATACACTACGTTGAGCCAGTCACCGTATATATAAATAACAATGACAATAATCTATTGAATAAGACTCTTCAGCGGAAGGTATCGTTTATGGTGTGGTTTGAGTGCTTAGTTTGAGAGCTTAAAAATCGTTAAGACGCAGTTAGCAATATAAATCCATTTGAAGCTATTGTCAATGGAAACAGTGGCAGCTGCTAGTAGGTAATTAGAAACCACCGTATCAGTTTTACCTGCGAGGAGTTTAGGGTGATTTAGTGACAAGTCAAATTTTCTAGGAGACAAGTACTGCATGGTCAAACATTCACCAATGGGCTGATTTCCAAAGGCAAATGATTGCGAATTTGTGCTAGCAAACAGCAGATTAAAAAGTTAATAATTTCATCGAATACGCTGATCGAATTTCCAGGGTTTTTCCTGGAAGGGAACTTACGCGTTTTTATCGATGCCAGTAACGACGTACAAATGAATTTTCGAATAATCACATCCAATTGCATTAATTGTGGAAGCGAAGTCAAGAAACAGCTTTCCCACACGCTTTGGCTCATTGGATCTAAACGAGGGCATTTGTTGCACAGTTCATTCACAAAAACTTACTGTTTCATTTGGTCCAATGCCCCAGCTAAGGTTTGATGTAAGTGAATCGCTTGGTTCAGCAGATCCTTCATATGGCTCGCCTTACTCAAGAACGGCCTAAAGTAGTTAAGAATAAACCTTCGCAATGATGATACTCACAGGTGAGCAAACGGTTCTAAATGTACCAAGACGCCTGAGACCAGTTGAGTCAGTTCGTTCACCTGGCGTACTTCACCTTCCAAGATATGTTGAACAATCTGAATATGAAGCGTAGCGATTAAAAGATACGTACCTCGTCCTGAAATGTGCGCAGATGAAGAAACTGATCATCTGCACTACGCCGATCACTCACAGCTGCACCAGAGGGTGGAACAGGGATCACATAATTGCTTGGGAACCATCCAACTACACCATTCAATGAACCCTCCCACCAGCCACCATCCACCTGGCGAGAGACCACAATGGTATCACCTCGTTTGAATGACAGCTTAAAATGGTCCCCAGAAGAAAGATATTAGGTCGCTGAAAATCTTCCATTGTGCGCGTTATACGCAGTACTGTATTAAATATTGTAAAGGAAACTTGAAAACTGAAAAAATTCCATCCATTTACAGGTTTTATTTTGTAATGAAATGTGTTGCGCCGTTATTTAAACGATGAAGTTGGAAGGTGGTAACGAGCATCAGGACAGATTACTAACTGTTGGTTACAAGGTTAGCAAAACAAAGAAATTACGCACAATAAAGAGATTGTTACGACACAAAAGTACCACCCTCAAAATTGAGCTTCTTTTGAGTTAACTCAGGTGCAATTATCACCCCCGAGAAATGCCCTCGTGGAATTCAGACCGCAAGAAAACTGATGGACAGGCTGTGCTCATTGCCTTCTCATTGTGGTGTTATTATCAAAGAGAAAGTTCGAGAGACTAACATCCGGGTCATCACCAAATAGGTCCGTCACGGAAAGTTAGCTTATCTATGGGAACTCAAAACCAATAACTTCATACCACCCAAGGATAGGTGGATGAACTAGCTCAGGATACTCGAATCAAACAGACCAACAAAACGATTGAGGAGCTGTTCATTTGGCTTTATGGAAGTATTAACCGTATCTCAAGGGCATGATAACAGACAGGCCGGACCTGTGTCCAATGAATTGTAACGTGTACACACTGCCCAACTATCCCACGGGTGAAATTTCAGTTGGCAGAGGGAACCGGTAGCGAACCCGTGAGAAAATTACCTGGTTTGGCTTGGGCAACCCGACAGCATTTCGCTCACACAGCGATCATGCCAGGTTTTATAAGCACACTAGTAACACGATCTGGTATGGTTTGAATCCCGAAAAATGCGAAATACAAGACAAACACAGTTCAATCATCCTTTAAGAAAGCACGGCAGACTAGCTTCGGAGATCAGTAGGATTCGGAAATTTAAATACTCTGAATAAGATTCCGGTTTCCTTGTAGACAAGGATCAATAATTACTCCAATGACACCTTTCTTTGAGAGCATCCTTGAGAAACGTTCCCAAGCTGTGATCTGTCCAAGTTTAACCTATTTTTGGTAGAGACTTGGATATTTTACTCGGTGAAGGATTCACATCTTTAGTTTCCAGTTCATCTTCATTACCTGTTATTTTGGACCATAGCTGATAAGCCGACATATCCACCAGCAGCATCTCTTAAAATTGATTGCATTCACCTTTAT